TGGCTGTATAACCCTTGAGCTTAATTTAGAAAAGAAAAATAGTGCAGTTCTATTCATTCTAAAGAAAGTAGATCTTTAATGTTTATACTAGTTTTTTAATATACTTCTTTAAATATTTGTTGAGCCCCAGTACAAAACAGAAACGCCTGTCCTCCCACCCACCCCCGCCATCATAGGATATATCATGAGCTCCTAATGATCATAACTGCTACTGATAGCTTTGTGGTATTCTGATCCTTCTACTTGTACAATTTAGACTCCCTAATGTGACTTCCAGGCCTTCTGGTTTTCTTATATTTATTCTCACCCCAGCTGGAGGACAATGGCCAATCTAATGAGATTTTTACCAGTGAGTATTTAGTTATTGCTTTTTCCAAAAGGAGTACAATTTAGTTTGCTGTGGGCTATTTTAACAAACTAAAGTGAGAACCTAGAAAGTTAATAGTTTTATCTTCTTTAGGGGTATCATTGGAGAATTTTCCCCTCTGTAAAGAATTGCTCATTCCACCTGGAACCCAAAACTATATGGTGAGAATGCGACTCTATGACATCAACCGGCGGCAGCTAAACCTCACCATCCGGATTGTGTGCCGAGCGGAAGGATCCTTAAAGATCTTCATTTCTGCTCCATATTGGCTGATTAACAAAACAGGTATGTATGTACAGAGGCCGCTCAAGTAAGCCTTTGGCATTAGTCATGGGAATTCAGATTTATTTGCTCAGCTAACTAAATGGAGCCAATGCAAATAGATTACTTCAGCAGTCTAAGCCGCTGAAACCTTCCTGCTTCCATAATAAGTGCTTAATCCTGGTCAAAACTGTCCTTTTATTCAATGAACTGAGCCCACTAAATAAACTCAATTTTCACTATGTTCACCGTTGATGATTTTTTTTCATTTACTATTTGCATCTCTCTTGGGTAGACTGGGTTGGATTGATAGAAACCTCTCCCCTCCTTTCTCAAGGGTTACCACTGATCTTCAGACAGGACAATGCAAAGACAGATGCTGCAGGCCAGTTTGAGGAACACGAGCTGGCCCGGAGCCTGAGCCCTCTCTTATTCTGCTATGCTGACAAAGAGCAGCCCAACCTGTGAGTACAGTTATTTATGGGAAGGGGAAATAAGCTCCTAGGGAAGAGAAGAAATTAGCAAAGGCTATAATATATCCATGTAAGTAGAAATATACCGTAGATAACATTCTGACTTGGCAGGGGAATAGAACCATGACCTAATGGGATTTTGGGGGATCTAATTTCTGCGTTATTCAATACTGAAAATAAACCATTTGGTTGGTTTATAATGAAAGCTAGTTTTATTTTACATGTATTGAAGTAGTTCTCCTACTCATAACTCTGCCAACGAAGAGAAACCTATGTGTTCCCCTTCTCTTCTCTGCAGTTTCTCTTCCCCTGTAAGCTTTTAGCACAGGCAGAGGAGCTGGCATCAGAGTGGACATAGACTGACCCTTTGGGAAAACCTTCAGCCCCATTAATCCAACCCAGGATTTGTGTAAGGTTTTAAAATTCATCCCTTTTACCCTTCAAATAAAATGTACCATTTTAAAATCTCAAACCACTCGTTGTGTGTTTAAAAGCTGGGAAAAGCAACAATTGTGAGGATGAGATGACATGTCCTTTTAATGTATGGTAGGAGCATTAATTCATTTCTATTCTTGGTTTTGACGTTCTGCTTTTTATAGGAGTCTTCTCATTCAGAGCCCTAATCCAGAGATAAAGGGGTGTATCTGATAGTGCTAAGATACCATGCCCTGTTATTTGTAGAATTATGCTGAAAGCTTAACAGGAAGGCTTCTGGAGTACTGCACTTTAGTGGGTATAGATGCACCTACCAGGAAGGGCTAGAATCTAGATTGATGTTGTAGTCAAGGAGAGAGGATTGATTAGAGTTCTGGATATTGTAGGAGACACAACCAGCCACTCGACATGTACAGGAAGCCCAGTCTCATTCTTTTCCTGAAAGGATTTGGACAGTTTTAGATCTAGGACTTGACATTTGTCAAACAGTTTGTTTATCCATGGATTTCATAGTTCCAAAGCATTTCCACATAGACTATCTCACTGGATTCTCCCCAACATCCCAATAGTTTAGGCAGGACAGGAAATACTATATTTTAAGATGAGGAAACTGAGGCTCAGAGAGACAAGACATTGACCAACTAAATAATACTTTGCCATTGTAATGGTGCCAATCCTTAGAAGTAATGCACCATTAGCAGCATCTTCTGTCCGTACTCTTCTCTTGCTTTTTTTTTTTTAATGAACCTTTGAAAATACCTGAGTCATCAGGAAAGGATCAGTTTGACCTGAATCCATGATTTTCAGGGGAATAATAGAAATGATAGTGTTTTCCTCATATGTTATGCTTATAGAATCCTAATGTTTTCTCCTAAAGGATTTAGTTGTAGATGTCAATATATTTCACACACTGTTGTACTGTGGCTACCTCCAAGATAGAGGGTTTTTTTGTTGTTTTTGTTTTTGTTTTTTTTGAGAGAAGGTCTCGCTCTGTTGCCTGGGCTAGAGTGCAGTGGCATCATCATAACTCACATCAGCCTCCAACTCCTGGGCCCAAGTGACCCTCCTGCCTCAGCCTCCTGAGTAGCTGGGACTACAGGCGCGCACCACCACTTTCGTTCAGCTGATTTTTTTTGTAGTGCCGAGGTCTTGCTATTGCCAGGCAGGTCTCAAACTCCTGGGCTCAAGCAATCCTCCCGCTTTGCCCTCCCAGAGTGCTAGGATTCCAGGTGTGAGCCACCGTGCTCAGCCTCTAAGATGGAGTTTTGACCGCTGATTAATTTTCTCACTGTGTTTGGGAATCACATTAAGAGTGAGGAAGAGAGTCAGTATTAGAGATCTAATTTTGGGTAATATCTACATTACTATTTCCTGATTAGAAGACGTAGATAAGACTTTCTTATGGATGAATATATACATCTTTGCTTTTCTGCCCCTCAGCTGCACGATGAGAATTGGAAGGGGAATTCATCCGGAAGCCATGCCGGGCTGGTGTCAGGGCTTCTCCCTGGATGGTGGTAGTGGTGTCCGAGCTTTGAAAGTCATCCAGCAAGGAAATCGCCCAGGGCTGATCTATAACATTGGTAGGTCACGTCTGGGGCAGTGGGAGAGTAAGAATCGTTGGCCGATGACCTCAGGCTTGGAGGAGTAAGCTGGCTGTGCATTTTGGTCTAGCTACAAGTGCTGATTTTCTCATTTGGCATTGAGTCAGGTATCTCTTCTCTGAATGCTAGGTTGATATCAACACAGATCTATTCTCCTGGGGATCTGAGGAGCCACCTAAACACTGCCCTTTTGAGGTCTGTGGCTCTGTTTAATTTCAGACTCACCTGTGTCAGGAAAGTATCAGTTTGGCTTGAATCCTTATTTTTCAGGGAAATAATAGGAACACTTAGAATGCTTTTCATCCTCCAAATATTCCCACGCATTCATTAAGATTAGCAAACCCTAAGAGGGTAAGAAGCATTGTTCTCCTTGAAACTGAAGGAGAGAGGTTAAGTGACCTGCCTAGATGCAAAAGGGAAGTCTGGGTCAGAAGTAAGATTAGGATTGGGGGCTACGAATTAGAGGCAGAAAATATACTAAAATGTACTTGGTGTTTGTAGTAATTAGAAACACCTCAACTAACTTAGCTTCTGGAGGTAGGAAGGGTGGGAAGGGGAGGGGAGGATATTCTACCCACATGTCTTATAGCCACTTGAGAACAGTTAAAAGATTTTCTGAATGGTTAAGATAAATTTGATTTAAATATGCCTCAGGTTTAAAATGTTAGCAGGGCATCCTTCTTTTAGTATATAATTTCTAAAGATCTTAAAGAAATGTTTAGTTTTGAGAGTTTCAACACCATCTAGAGCTGCATGGTCTTGTAGAACTTTCTGTGATGATGGAAGTGTTCTATTTTGCACTGTTTGATACAGTAGCCACTAGCCACTTGTGGCTACTGAGCACTGAGAGCACATTACTGAGAAATGTGCCAAGTATGACTGAGGAATTGAATTTTATTTAATTTTAATGAATTTAAAGTTAAATAGCCACATATGGCTAGTGGCTACTGCATTAGACAGTGCAGATGTAGTCATGTTGTAGAAGGAAAAACTGAGGTGGCATCCTTTACATATTTCCCCTGAATCCCGTGGAGGATCAGGGATATGTTTAAATGTTTGAGGATTTGTTAGGAAAAGAATCTTCCAAGTACAGTTTCCTTTTCACGTTTTTAAACATGGATTTGTATTCATTCTCCCTTGACATGCAAGCTGTCACCTGAGAGTTGACATTAAGATTTTTAAAAGAAATAAACTTTGTTTGATCGTCCAGCTGAGGATCGTTTTCTTTACTTTTTCTCACATTTGTTTGCTCCACCCCTTGACTAGGCAAAGGCCGCTTCGTGCTGAGTTTGGCTTTCTGCTGGGGTGTCTTGCCCTTGATATATTTTCCAAAGCAAGCTACCATAGGCTGGCTGGAAGCTGAAGTTGGGACAAATTGGGGGATGGGGTGGGGGAGCTTGTTTCTTTTAAAGTAGCTAGCACTAAGATCCGTAGAATTCTTGCAGAGAGGCAAATTGAGCAGACCAGTCAGACATATGCATTGATTACCCATGTATACTTTTATGCTAGGAGCATTCATTAAAGCTCCTAGTATAGGTTTTTAGGGACAAGACTGTTATTTGAGTTTTGTTGTTCCAACAAGGGAAAGGATATGGGGGGTGGGCTAACATAGGACTTAATAATTTTTAAGGATCATGAGATTTTTGCCATTTATTATCAAGGGAATTTGTGAAATCTCATACTTAAATATTTGAAGAATTAGATAGATAACTAGCTCCCTATCAGGAAAGTTGAAAGCACAATCCCAAACTGAAAAGTCAGGGACAGTCCTGCTAGTTAGCCTCGTTTGGACATCCAAAAAGGATTTTGTGCCTTTTGAACTTATCATCTATTGATTTATTAGGTGTTTCCCAAGATGAAAAGGGGGAAAAAGTCCCCCCTTCCCCCCAACTTGAGTATCTATAGTGTTCTAGGGGCACCCTAGACTCTTTTTGTAATATCAAATGAAATACATCTTTTGTAGGTAGACTTTTGTTATTAGTTGAGATCAGCTAACTATGATAATGTTGATTTCTGACAACTAAAGCTTTTCTGTATATCACAGAAAGAAAAGTGGTAGGTATATCTTTCTATCCCAGTAGTATATAACATTTCTTAAATGGGGAGTTTCAAAGAAATTTGCTTTTGTGATTTTCTTAGACTTTCAGATGTTTTCAAGGCTTATATTATGGAACACCAGAATTTTCAAGCCAGTATAAGTGAATAATTACAGTTACCAGATTGGAATGTTTATAATCGGGATTATGTTGGGAAATCTGAGACACCTGGTTGTCATGTCCTATAGTGGAGTCTCTGTTTTTATGGTTCTGTTGTTACTCAGACTGCTGAGTAG